TTATTGTCCTAAAAAAGACTATAGTTACAATAGCATATAGTGAGTTAATGAACCATATGGTGATTGCATATCCACAAACACACCAACTATTTGCCTTGTAAAATTTAAATATGTAAGTTGTATGGATAGATGGATGAACAAATAGAGCTGTTTCTTTAAAGCATGGGGGGGGCATTCTCTTAAAAAAAAACACTAAGTTTAGGTAATTCCTTCTCAATTCCCATTCTAAGAAGAGCTGAGACAGTCTCCAAGCTTCCCATCCTCAGAGGACCAGGTGGGTTTGGATTCTGGACATCCAGCTTGGAGTAGTGTGGGGTCCTGTTGAAACTGTCCCTCCAGATCATGAGAGGGAAGAAAGAAAGCTAAGGGAGGTAGGAAACAGGAAATAAGGGAATGCGTGTACTAGGGAAGAAAAATTGGGCAGTAACTGAGCACCTACAGGAACCAGCTGAAGAAGAGAAGGGAAGGTAGTGAGGGAGAGCAATGAGTGAGAATGAAATATAATGGTGTAGACATATAAAGACGCCCTGATGAAGCCCATTATTTTGCATGCTGGCCTAAAGGGCCAGAGAGATGGTTCAGTGGTGAAGAACCAAGCTTAGTTCCCAGAACCCATGTCAGGTGACTCCCAACCACCTGCAACTCCAGCTCCAGAAGATTCAGTGCCTCTGGTCTCTGCATGCCCGGCAATCACAGGCGCTCGTGTGTACATGCACATGCACACACAATTTAAAAAATAATAAAAAATAAATCTTAAAAATTAAACACAAAGACAGTGTGCCACGATGCATAAAATATTTGTTCATGAAAGCAGGAGACAGACTGTGCTGGTTAGCTTTTGCCAACTTGACACAAACGGAGACGTATCTGGGAAGAGGGGATCTCAGTTAAGAAGTTGAATCCATCAGACTGGTCTGTAGGCCTGTCTGTGAGAGCATTTTTAAACTTTTTTCTTTTTAGTTATTTTGTTTAACGTTTATGGATGTTTTGTGTGACTATCTGTCTGTGTGCCGCATGCGTACTGGTCCACGGAGGCCAGAAGAAGGCAATGGATCCTCTCCAACCATGTAGGTGCCGGGAATCTAACCCAAGAAATCTGCCCGAGCAGCCAGCGCTCTTAACTGCTGAGCCGTTCTCCAGCCCCACATTTTCTTGATTAGTGACTCATGCTGGAGGGCCCAGCTCACTGTGTGCAGGTTGGGAAGGTGGTCCAGGGTTGTGTCAGAAAGCAATCCACAAGGAGTAAGCCAGAAAGCATCATTACTTCATGGCCTCTGCTTCAAGGTCTGCCTCCAGGTTTCGGCCCTGACGTTTCTCCTTGGTTTCCCTTTACGACAAGACTGGGAGCTGAAAGGTGAAATAAGCCTCTTCTCCCGCAAGTTGCTTTTGGTTGTGGTGTTTTCTCACAGCACTTGAAAGCTAATTAAGGAACTGGAGAGATGGCTCAGCAATTAAAAGTACTGGCTGCTCTTGCAGAGAAACCAATTTTTTTTTTTTGTTTGTTTTGTTTCCCAGAACCCACAACCACTGAATTCCAGTCCCAGGGGATCCAACACTCTCTTCAGGCCTCCTTGGGCACTTCATACATGTAGTGATAGACATACATGCAGGCAAAACCTCCATAGACACAAAATAAAAAAGAGCTAAATCTTTTGTTTTTGTGTTTGTTTGTTTCGAGACAAGGTCTCTCTCTGTAGTCTTGGCTATCTAGGAACTCATTATGTAGACCAGGCTGCCCTCAAATGCGCAGAGATCCGCCTGCCTCTGCTTCCCTGAGTGCTCAAATTACAGGCGTGTGCCACCGTACGTAATTCAACAATGAATTAAAAGCGATGAATCTGTTTTTAAACGGACAATGAAATTATGTCATTTATAGCAAGATGGACGAAGCTGGAGATCACCGCGCTCAGCAAAATAAGCCAGACTCAGGGCAAGTGTATGAGCTGGGAGAACGCTTGCAGAAGATGAGGATTCAGCTGCCAGCACCTACACGGCAGCCCACAGCTTCTGTAGCTCCAGTTCTAGGCTATCCAGTTTCTTCTTCCGAACTTGGCAGGCAGCAGGCATGCACCTGGTACACATGCATGTATGAGGGGAAGCACACAATAAATAAAAAGAAATCCTTTATGTTAAAGATTGTGATCTCATATTTGGGAGGCTGAAGCAGGAGTGCCATAGGCTTGAGGCCTGGCCTGAGAGACATGCTACATGAGACCTTGTTTCAGAAAATTATGTATGATATATATTTCTTTGTGTGTGTGTATACATAATAAAAATTAAACCATTTACTTATTTATTTATTTTTGGTTTTTCAAAGACAGAGTTTCTCTGATAGCCCTGGCTATTCTGGCTGTTCTGCTTTGTAGACTAGGATAGCCTTGAACTCACAGAGATCCAACTGCCTCCCTGAGTGCTCGGATTACAGGCATGCGCCACCATGCCTGGCTTGAAGTTTACCTTTTTAAAAATAAAATAAATAAAATAAAATTAATAAAACACATGTGGCCAATGCCTTGGGGGAATGACAATGGGATAGACACATACTTTGCCTTGTACATCCTGGTAGTCACCAGGGTGACAGGAAGATACAGACAGCTGTGGAAGGGCTGGGAAGCCAGCCGGCTGCCCAGCTGTGCAGGTTTAGAAGGGGTTAAACTGCACAGAAGGGTTACCGCAAGGTTATGGGGGTGGTTTGCCTGTGGTGTCATGTTCTCCTGTCATGGATGTCGTGTTGGTGTTCTTGAGTCTGTGCTGGCAGTGGGCAGAGCGGAGGCAAGAGAACCTGTTAGGAAACTATTAAAATGATTCAGACCAGGAGTGATTAAGATTTAACAAGGGCAGCAGCGTGGGAATGCAGAGGAGGAGACAGTCTCCCGAAACACTTCTGAGGCAAATATGGTAGATCTAGGTGGTGGTTAGTAACTGAGGGGCTGCGGAATAGCTTAATGGGAAAAGGACAGTGAGGTGGGGAAAGGGGGGGAGGGACCTGGAAGGATTCCAATACAGAAGGGCAGTGAGCGTAATTGACTGACAGAATCTGAGGGATTAGGAGTCTGAGGTAAGATAAAAGGCCACAGAGATGGGGAGGGCTTAATTCGGAACCACAGACTCAAGATCAAGCTTTGGACTCTGAAGCGAGAGTGGTAGAGAAAACCTGTGTGTGTGTGTGTGCGCGCGCGCGCGTGTGCATGGCTCCTGCATGCACAGGCCTACACATGAAGGTCAGAGGTTGATGGCAGCTGTCTTTCTCAATTGTTTTCCACCCTAGGTTTGAGATGCACTTCCGCTGAAACTGAAGCTTACCAGTTAGCCCAGCTGTCCTGCAAACCCCAGATTCCTGCCTGTGTCCACCCTCTTCCCCACCTGCAGCCTTGGGGAACCCGACTCAGGTCCTCATGCTTGCAGGGCCAAGCACTTTACCTACTGAGGCATTGTTCCATGCCCCTGCCCTGCCCCCCCCCCTTTTTTTTTCTGAGAAAATTTTACTGGCCTCTGGATAAAGTTTATTTGCAGGGAAGAATGACCCCATCATACTTCTGGTGGAAGCAGCACGTGGCCTCCTCTTTGCTGAGTCTGCGCTTGGCCCCAGTGCAGCCTGCCTGTCTTCTTGTCTGCGATGCGGAAACCTGGCCTACCCAGCACCACATAGAACCAGGCTGTAGATCCCAATTGCTTGGGTCGTATTTGATGCCCAGATCAATTGTTCCTTCTTAACTGAGTAACCGAAAAGGTGGGGAATCAAAGGGCTCTCCCAGCCCCTCAATGACGGCATCCAACTATGCGGAACAGAAACTCACTTTTTGCTCATCGTCTTGAATAAAACCTTTGCTGTTTCTTTCCTAATACCTTTCTCTCCAGTGAAGTTATTTTCCTGTAAAAAGAAGCTTTTGGGTGACATGGTGGGGTGTGGTGGTGGTGGTCAAAACATCAAACCCAACCCTCCCTTCCTCCCTCCCTCCCTCCCTCCCTCCCTCCCTCCCTCCCTCCCTCCCTCCCATCTGATCTGAACCCTACCACTCTATTCTGTTCCCCGACCTCCCCTGTCCCTAAAGTTATGTGGTAAAGATGTGGCGTTTGAAGCCAGGTAGTGGTGGCTCACACCTTCGATCCCAGCACTCCGGAGGCAGAAGCAGGAGGATCTCTGTGAGTTCGAGGCCAGCCAAAGTGAATACCAGGGACAACCAAAGCTGCACGGAGCTTTGGTGAAAAAAACAAAAAACAATGGGGCTGTCGTGAAAAACAAACAAACAAACAACAAAACAAAAGAAAAAGAAAAAGAAGTCTGGGGGCTGGGGTGTGGCTCCTTGGCTGAGTGAGTCCTTCACTCACCGACACCACTACATCCTGGACACTTAAGGCTGTGGCTTCAGAATAAATAAACGAAGATAGGGACTTCAAAACAGATTCGTAGGGCCCGGCTCACCCTCGCTCCCCACCCACATACCAGTTTTCCCTGAGTCCTGCACATGTACATTCATATAAGCAGCATCCTTCCTTTCTGATTCTAAAATAATCACAAATTTAATGTAAAAAAACAAAAACCCAACAAGTGCAGGAATAAAAATGAATGAGGAAAAAGAATAGAGGAGGAAAAAAAAAGAGAGAGAGGAGTAAGGAAAGAAAGAAGAGGGAAGGGAAACCGCAGAAGCCAAAGGAAAACTAATTCCATCTCAAAAAAACAGGAACCAGTTTGGGATCTGAGACTAAGGGGCCGGGCACAGGACTTGCTCCCGGGAGACCTGGGCATCCTCGGGCCCGCAGGGTTCCCCAGAACCGCAGAAGGGAGCGGATGTCCTCCGAGGAGGCAGGGACGCGGGAGCGGAGCATCCTCCGGCCGAGTGCAGGACCCGGTCCCGGCGCGGGGTGGCGCCAGAGGCGGGACGGCGGGCGGGCGGGGGAGGAGGCGACCCGCGGGGCACCGCGCACGCCGCACGGCCGCCGCTCCAGCCGTCTGCGCGGCCATGGGCGCGGTCCGCAGCCCTCCCGCTGCCTCCCAGCCCCGAGAGCCCACCGGAGACCCGGAGACCACGCGCGTCCCAGCCCCAGCCGCGGGCTCGGCGCTCCTCAGCGGCCGGGGACCCCGCGAGGTGAGCACAGCGCGCCCCTGAGGACCCCAAACCCGAGGTTTTGTAGGAGCTCCCTATGGACCGCGTGTCCACCAAACACGGAGCACCTGGTGCTACAGTGAGAAGCGGGCAAGGGCCCGGTCTCCTATTCAGGACCTGAGCAGGGTATTCGGGAATGAGTCAAGAAATCCAAAAAAAAAAAAAAAAAAAAAAAAGTAAGGAGGAATGCATCGGGGACGATGGCGATGGCAATTTGGGAGGCAGAGCGCTGTGACTGGGTGTGAACAGGGACTTGTTGAATAAGCAGCAAACTGCTGAAAAGAAAAAGAGGCCTCAGCGCTGTTTCCCACAGTCTGGTGATCTCCAAGCGTGACCCCAGATCTACCCTGCAGGTGCAAGCTCACCCCAAGGGCGGGGTGGCGAGCTGATGTTCCCCACGCCCTCTCTGAAGTCCGAGAAGAAAGTTTTACTATGCTGTGTGTGTTCTGTGCGAAGGCTTTGTTCTCCGGGCACGGGCACCTGAGGACTGCCCTGGGGCTCCTGAGCATCCTTGGATCAGGCCAGCAGCAATGTGCAAGCTCTTTCTAGAGGCTTCCACTTCGAAGGCCAGGCGCCGCGTGCTACCTTGTTAGGGCCTTCCTGTTAAACTGTTAAAATTTCAAGGTTGAAATCTGTAGTAGGTGAGGATGGTGTGCTTGGTTTTCTGGATGCATGCACGAGCAGTAGGTAAATTATGTCCTGGCCTATGAAAAACCGACTTTTAAACAAGATACACGTGATGCTACGTGTGTGCATATTTAGGTCTGTGTGTGGTAGAGGGGGGAGAGAACAGGTCTTCAGGTGGGGGTTCAAAACCGCCATGCTTGGTGTTTTCATTGGGCGACGAGGATCCCCAAAGAAAAACCACCTTTCTCCACCAATAGCTGCGCTCTATCAGCAGTTCAAATACCAGCCAGGCTTCCAAGTTTGTAGACTGTTTTTGTTGTTGTTGTTGTTGTTGTTGTTGTTTTGAACTACTGCAGAAGGAACAAATGGGTGTATATAGATATGTGAGCGAGGAACCACTTGGGGCTTAAGGCACTTTTGAGTCTGGGATCTAAAGTGCTTTGGCAGGCTTGGCTTGAATTCAAGCTCTCTGGGAAGGAGTGGAGAGGGCCTGCTGCCCATTTTGTCTCTCTGATGCCCCTACAGGACCGCCTCTGTGTCTGCACGTTCCTTTGGTTTGTCTGTCTCTCACCTCTAGCTTTGGCTTCTCTCTGTTCCCTAGAGTTGGCCTGGTCAGAGTCTAGAGTTGGCCTGGTCAGTGGCAGGGTAGTGGTAGCCTGGGAATAGAGAAGCCTCCAGCAGAGACAAGGACCAGCAAAGGGCAGGAGGCAACTTCCAGCACAGAGAGTGCAAGAATGATCAAAGGAGCTGGGCGATCTAGAAAGAAGCCGCCTCAGACACGCTGGTTCTCATTGATGTTTGGTTGGTTGGGTTTGGGTTTTGGTTTTTTTTGAGACAAAGTTTCTTTGCATAGCCTTGGCTGTGCTGAAACTTGCTCTGCAGAACAGGCTAGCTTCAAACTCACAGAGCTCTGCCTGCCTCTACTTACCGAGTGCTGGGATTAAAAGTGCGTGCCACTATGCCAGCTCTGAGGACCACATTGTTTCTTGATGAGGGCTCCTGTATTCCAGTTCCTTGCTATTTATCCATAAAGGCATTTGAAAGTTGTGTTGGAGAGAAATGGGGCCACTAAGAAGTGTCCCTTCTCCTCAGATTTACCTTTAATTTTTTTTTTAAAATATCCGTGTGTGTGTGTGTGTGCGCGCGCGCACAAGCAGGCATGTGAAATCAAAGGATGCCTCAGCTGTGGGCTCTTGCTTCCACTGTGTTTAAGACAGGGTCTCTCTTATTTGTTGGCCGTGTGCACCAGGCTAGTTGGCCCGAATCTAAGGATGCTCCTGTCTCGGCCCTCTCCCCTCCTGGTAGGAGGGCTGGGATCACAGAGCTGAGCCCACAGCCTCTGGCTTTATCTGTGTCCCAGGGACCCAACGTTTGCACAGCAAGCAGGTTACCCACTGACTGTCTCCCTAGCCTGAATTCCTGTTTTGCTTCATACCTTGAATCTTTTCAGAGAATAACTTGAGGCAGAGGTGAGAGGAGAAGAATTGCCAGGTCCTCTGTCAGCCACAGAGGTAGTGAAGAGCAGGATGGCTTGGGCAGAGAAACTGGATTTGAGAGCTGAACAGAAAACAGAGCCCTTATTTTACAAAAAGGGCTGAGAACTTACTGGTGTCTAGTTTCTAGCAAATCTGCTAAAGAATGCAGATTGATCCCTCACTTTTTTCTACCAACGTTTTATTATGAGAAATTTTAAATATTGCCAAGAAGTTACCTCCCTTTGTTTTTATAAACTTTTAGTTGTCTTATTTGAAATTTTATTTATTCTCATTTTGTGCGCATGAGTGTTTTTGGTTTTTGTTTTGTTTTGTTTTGTTTTGCCAACACAGATGTTTGTGTACCTCGTGTGTGCAGTGCTCACGGAGGACAGAAGAGGGCATCAGGTCTCCCTAGAAATGGAGTTGAAGGTGGTTGTGAGGCACCATGAGAGTGCAGGGAACAGGTGCTCATCAGGAAGAGCAGCTGATGTTCTTAACCACAGACCCATCTTTCCAGCCCCTTTAATTATCTTAAAACATAAAAAATAAAGTAAGAGTTTGAGACCTAGATGTTTGTGATCCAGGGCTGGGCAGAGGTTAAACCAGAAACTGTGGTTAAGAAATAAATATGAGAAAGACATATTTTGAGGAAAATATGAGTTATATGAATATATGAATTTTGTTCTTCTAAATCTTTCATAACAGACATCAAATACCTTGATTTTTTTTTTTTTTAGCATTCTCCTTCTCTCTCTCCAAATTTAAGATAGCACATCGGGCATTCAGTAAAGAGAAAAGACAGGAGGGAGAAAAGCAGACCTATGCTTTTCTTTTACTCATTCATTCATTCATTGCAACAGGGTCGTGTTATGTAGCCCAGGCCACCCTCCAATTCTCAATCCTCCTGCCTCAGCAGGAATGCAGAATTTACAAATGCAGAATTACAAATGTCTTATTTTTAAGACATCGCTCTATCACTCCTTTTTGTAGAACCCTCCAATAGTGTCCCCTCATACTTAGGTAACATCCAGCTCTCCACTGGAGGTGGTCACAGCCCTGTGTGGTGGGGTGTGCGTGGGTCATATCTGTTGCCCACTGTCCTCTGCGGTTTCCGGTTTCCGTGTTGCTTGAGAATGCCTCCCTCTGATCCTCGGGACCTTAGTGAGAGTGCCCCTGGCATTTGTCACCTTTTGAGGCCCTGTCTCTGTCAATTGGACACATCCTCCCCTGGAAACCCCAGAAGGGCCAGAATTTGTTGTTGTTGTTGTGGTGTTCATGGTTATGTTCCTGGTTGGCAAAAGATGAGCAATTAACAGACATTATTGAACTGACTAGATAACTAATGACACAAACACACTTATCTCTCTCCCACCAGGCTTGTGAAACCGACGGTAAAATACTAGAAGTCCCACTCAGGCAATCAATATTTTATGGGTGAAGGGTGATCTGGCAATCAGTGAGCTCTTATCTTCACAGTGTTTCTACGCTGCACCCGCTGGACGTGAGGTCGGTTTTGGCCACACATCTCAAGGAAAATACACAAAATTTCACTCCCTCAAAATTTCCCTCGTGCCTCTTTGTCGCCTCCTCCACCATCTAGAAGTAACTGATTCCTCTTACTTGGGTGTTAATGGTTCCTGCATGGTCGTAGAAATGCATTTACGTAGCATACGCTCTCTTTGTCTGCCCTTTCTTCTGCTGTGTTATGTCTGTGAGATTCATTGTTGCTGCTGAGTGTGCGAAGAGGTCATTTCTTTTTACTTCAAGGAGGCATCCATTGTCTGAATATTACTGTATGTTTATCCATGCTCTCACTGATGGACATTCAGGTTGCTTTTGTTTTGGGGCCCTTTCGACTCAAGCAGCTGTGGATATGCTTATAGAGTCTGCCTCATTTTACTCCTAAGTATTTGGCTTGAAATAGAAAATCCTCCTGTGTTCACATGCAGAGAGAGGTATGGCAAAGTGACAGGGGCTCAGTGACAGGCCGTGTGTGTCCATTTGTAAGCATTACTGCCAGGGGATGATTTACCTTATGTTATGGGGAAGGATAGCACTTGTAAAATGAACACCTATGCAAATCAGGGGAGTCCTCAGGTATTTCTTAAATGTGTCTGAGGACCTCAAAAGAGACCAAGTACAATGCCTTCCCCCCTCAGCGTTCTGTTCCTCTCCTCCTTGCTCAGCTTCCCGGTCTCAGTAAGAGTGGACTCTAACCAGCCCCTGAACGTTACACTGCTGAGGTGTTAAAACATTCATGAGAAAGGGTCTTGTTCAGAGCCTGATAAAATATTTATGCGTTTCCATGGGGCATCGGTTTCCGTCTAGATTTCTCAAGGCGTTTTTCTGAGCTGTTTGTCATAATCATGAGGTACACAGACAGAGGATACAGCCCCAGGCAGCCCCGGGTTACTAAGACCAACCTTAGAGCACGTTGCTTTCTGGGGATGGAGATAATGAGCACACAGACAAATGGAAGCTCTCGGTGTGTTCACACCAAGCATGTGCTGCTGAGATGGCTTAAGAGGGAAAGGGCTCGTAATGTGGGACACTCACAGATGTGATCCAGAGGGGACAGCGAAAAGAATGTGCTAGAATGAAGAGGGATTGATTAAAGGGGGACGCGTACATTTCAAATGAAAGAATGAAGGGATCTGTCTTGTAAAAGGCTTCATTCCTCTGATTCTGTCATGGACAGAGCCCGCACCAGCTATGCCCAATGCCACGATTAAATTATTACTTCCTGAGGAGCTATGGGTGGTAGGAGGGGAATGGAGGTGGGGGGGGTGCTCTTGTGAAAGATTTCCATACGAGAAATAAGTCGAAGGAAGGAGTAGCTTTGGAATAGAGTTCTGAAGGAGTGATGGCTCTCTGACCAGC